TTCAACAGTCACCTCTTGGTTGCGTGCAGGTTGGAGGCGCGCAACTCTACAGTTTCAAAAATTACAATAACAACTACTAGAAACACTTGGAACTGGAACTAATTTCCTAAACGCTGTAGAAGGGCAGGAAAGGATAAAAGTTAAGTTGAAAGGCTCATTTGTCTGTAACGAAAGCATCAGGTAGTCGACTTAGATGCAGCTGCTCCGATACTTCCAGCTGCTCATAGTTTCTCTGCATGAAGATGAAACACGATGTTTCATTTCGGCTTTTCCAACTGGAACTAATTTCCTAAACGCTGGAGAAGGGCGGAAAAGAATGAAGGCCCGTTTTGAAGGCTCTCTGTAACAAAAGCATCACAGCAGCTAGTCAGTTTAGATGCAGCTGTCTCGAACTTTTAGCTGCTCATGGTACTTCTGCAGCAGGATAAAGTTCCATTTCGGCTTTTCCAATTGGGACTTATTTCCGAAATCTGGAGAAAATCGTAATGAATGAAAGTTCATTTGTAAGACTCATTGGTCTGTAATGAAAACATCACAGTAGGTAGTCGATTTAGTTGCAGCTGCCTCCGGAACTTCCAACTTCCTTGGTTCTTCCGTAGCAAAATAAAACATGATATTCCATTTCGGCTTTCCCATTTACGGCTTTCCCGAGGGATCATATCTCATTTCAGACGTTTTTAGTTAAGGTCTTTTTTAAAAATCGTGCCATTTCAGCCTCTTTTGATGGGGTAAGTAAGAGCCATTCCCGTTTCAGTCTTCCCATTCATAGTCATCGAAAACGTGATAGAAGGGTCATGTGACTATGGAATATGTATAAAATGGTGTCACAATGACGCTTCAACCTTTAAACTTAGTTTAGGCACTGCTTAAATAAACCATTAATGATATTTTTGGTTACATCTAATACATTAAATAAGATGTTTGTAAAATTTGATTACAATTCAATGTTATTTTTATCTTGATGTAGGAATATGTCAATTTATATAGAACAGTCGCGGCTAAAATATTTTTAGAATTCTATTTCTTGAAAAATAAAATACTGTAAGCAAGAAATGAAAGCTTTTGAGGACTTTGCTAGCTTAAATCCGTATTCAAAATTACAATACTTCAAAAAATCGTGAAAATCCTGAGAAATATTGCTATCACAGTTTCCAAGAAAATACATTTTTTATTTAAAAATGTGATTTTCATCATAAGGGAAATTAAGCCATGCATAGGAAAACGGATTTTTTACCATCACTTGTCAAATTGGTTCGAAGAACCGATTCACTTTACTGAGCGATCGAAAACTGATTCGTCAAAAGAGAGTGGTTATTCTTTTAGAGTTCTTTTTGGAATTATGCCTCGAAAGATGGATTCACATTTTAGGAACAAGTTTATCCTCCCATGTTAAAAATGAGTTTAATTTTTATCCTTTCCCAAATTTTTGAATACCTTTTATTCTAGAACGTTATTGTTAGTTCTATGTCGAAAGGAGGTTTAAAGCTTCGTTCACACCGTGGTTTTAAACCCATAGTGGTCTAGCCGAGCTTCGTTGTTAAGCAACCAGACCTTTCTACGTCAGAAAAACTGGTTTAAGGATTTTGCCTAAATGTTCTAAATTTTCAACTTTCTGTCACCTGGTGTAAGAACCGACCAATCACAGCGAATCAAACGCCGGTCGACGGTTTCGCTCAGCTACACATTTACGCATGTGCACATTTCCCTTCCCTGACTGGCTATGGCTTAAACCCTGCTAAATAAGTGTGAATTGACTTAACGTTTCTTATGCCTTAAACCACCAAGCTTTATGATGATAAAACCATTGTCTGAACGAAGCTTAAGGGAATCTCAAAATCTCAGCAGAAAGAAATCAGTCCTGGAGGTTTACGTTCGTCTTAATGAGTCCTCCTCATCCATAGCTCGTTCGATTTTTTTCTGCTCTTCACTCCATCCTCGCTCAGTATTCTTGATTTTCTCCCAATTCCCCAGCGTATTTATCAAAGTTATTTTTAGTGAGTGGTGAGTCACTAAACAAAACTCCATTCTTTTCATTGAGTGATTGGTTCCGCGTTGATCTCATAAAACAGCGGTTTTGTCCACCTCTGTTCGAGACTAAACCTTTAGCAGCTATTATTGGTTGGATACTCTCTGGCAACTACTTGCTACTGATTTCCACAGCTTGATCAACTTTAGCTTTAATAGCCGCATTTGCTTCGCGAATATAAGTCAAGTTCAATCTTATTTAGGCGTGTGTCATTCTCGTATGTAATATTCTGATTTGACTTATGCTGGACTTTTCGTCAATTAGCAGATATAAACATTTTCCTGGGGGCTGGGACATACAAGTACCACGTATTTTCTACGTTTAATACAGCTAAAACATTTAGTTTACAATGGAGATTTAAAATTTGCTACTTAATGCGGAATAAGAAATGGCAGACTCTGTTGACTTGTTTTTCTGTTCCTTCCTAATTGAGTAGCTGACTAAATACTTTCAATACATGAGCTCTGTGATGTGGATGCCACATGACTTCCTTGTAATTTCCTTCCTTCCTATTAAATTACACACAATCTGATTCGTGTGGCCTTCCGCTAGTAGCTCATTTTAAACTAAATTTTACATTTTGATTTACTGTTACTTTAAGTTATCTCGCCACAAGAGGCACTAAATATTTTTGCATTAAGTACCTTTTTGGCTAAGATTCAGAAAGCTTTATGAAAACATGCGATAATATTAAATCTATTACGGTAAATTCGATTCGTTTCCGCCATATAACAGAGATTTCTTTGCTCTGAGAAAAGAAAAATAAAACAGGCCAAAGCTTTGATAACATTCGTGTAACATACCCTAAGCTTTTACCAAAAAATAATGTGTATAGCACGAATATAATATATCCAGCACTTCAGAAATGGTAGCCTAAACATTTGCCTAGTACTTGAGGCGTAGGAAAGAGTCGTGCTTATATGCGGGAGAGTGTGGCTACTAATCCGCCTTAAAATCATTATTGGTACATGTCCGAAAGCAAAAGGATTATTTCGACATCCCCATGCATCAAATCTTTGCACAGCTACTTTCGTCTAAGATCGTGCAAGAACTTAGAAATCTCAAGAAGCAGAGCATGTTTTGAAAGATCTGTAGGCAACAATTATTATTGCTCATAATAACTACTACTACTTCTCCTGGATAATAACTACTACTTTCACTTCACCTATAGTTTCAGTTTAGTTTTCGAAATGTTCTGTTTTAGGTTCTCCTGTTCTTAAGTTTTAATTTCAAGTCTCAAGTGGGTTTATTCGCGACTGAGTTACGGAGAAGGAAATATAATATTCTTATATGTTCAACAATCACCCCATTAGTACATGGTGAATGTCGACATTCACCGGTGTAAGTCAGAAATAAGAGTATTTGGAAAATATTTCGGACATACACCAAGCGACTATGTGAATGTTGAAAATTTCCCCGGTAAAAGTCGACATTCTCCAGATTTCGGTGTTTCACCGTAACATATATATATATAATATATATAGAGAGAGAGAGAGACTCAATATCTGGTTTGGAAGCACCAGCAGATATGTATAAAACAAATATTTTGGTCTCTCCTTGTAAAAGATCTCCTTGTAAAAGTTGAAAAAAATACACGGAGAGAAAATGAACTGGGTGAAAGTCCATATTGGTGTTATAAGCAATGGGAAAGACGGACATATTGGCAAAAGAGGCTGCTATGAATAATGCGGGAGATGCGTTCGATATTCAGGCATCAAAAAGAATTGTTATTGATAAATTGAAGGAGTTCTATTATGGTTGCTGGAAACTGAAATGAAACATTTCGGGAACAAGGAAAGATTACTTGTTGAACTTTGAAGTTTCTAAAAATATGAGAATAGATACGTCATTTTGATCACAGTCAAATAATTATTGGATACGGGCGCTTTCCGCCGCACCTGAAAAGATTTAATTTGCAAAATAACAGTCTTTGTAGTTTTTGTAGCGCTGAGGGCAATGCATGACATTTCGTCGAAGATTGCGTATTATTGCATTATGTTAGGGAAAAACATGGTAACATAAAGAAATTCTATTGATGCAGGAAAGAGTTTAGATTTGCAAAGAATTTGATAAACATTGTAAATGCCATTAGAACAATATTGGGAATTTTCGTTTGATGTTTTTAACTGTATTTTTTGTTTTATTCTGCGTAGGGAGTGCTGCGTTAGCCATGAGGCCGATTATTTTCGGCCAGGAGGGTTGCAGCACACTCGTATACATTACATTACATTACCTTTCTTATGTTTCTGTTGTAATTTCAAACACATATTGATAAACCACTGAAGTGTTTAGAATTCTCGTTTATTTTATGCTACCAAAAAAGACGACACTTTATAATATATATATAATTATATCAATAAAGACATAAAGTAGGAAATTTACAACTAATTTTTCACAACAAGATTCTAATTAGAATTTATTTTGTTTTTTTCCTTGCTTTGAGAAAGGGCCAGAATTTTTGGGTGAACTATTATAATTAAAATATATTGAAATGTTCATCAGCTAATTCTGGATATAGAAAAGTAAGGATTTTTGTCGAAGAAAGATTTCAGTTGATTTCAATGTTCCTCCCCCCGACGAAGGGACATTGAAGTTGCTTGGATTAGTCTTTTTTTTTTTTTTTTTTTTTTTTTTTCCATTCAATTTCATTAACTTTTTGAGTTGGAGTATTGCTTGTTTAAAAGTTTTGATTTTTAACATTTTTTTAATTCTTTGCTGCATTTATAAGATTATTTGAAATTTATTAATTATGAATTTCAATTTTTGGTCACTGTGAAAAATTAGTTCTAAATTTCTTACTTTATGACTTTGCTGATAACTTTTCAGCAGGTTAATGCACGAAAATACTAGGCATGTTTATATTTTTAAAAATTGTTTTGTAATTATAATTATATCAATTTATGCACGTTTTCCAGTATAATATTAAATATCAAAATGCAAATTTAGGAGAATACAAATGTAAAATAAGGCTTACCGTATGAAGGTCATATGCTATGTCTCCTGCAAATAAGAACACAAATTTTAGATAACATATAAAATTTGCAATTTCTAATTCTATATCTGAAATAATACTTCTGAGTCAATACATATTCTTAGTCTTCACATATTTAAAATAAATCATGAAAAGAAATATATTGTTACGAAATGTACAGGCGCAGTAAGATGACTTCCCCGCAAAGCAGTTTTAGGGTTGCCATAAAATGGCAAGGAAAAGCGGGTTTGCCACATTTGGCGATAAACCGCCCATTTGGCGACAAAATTGGCGATATGCCATGGACGGACGGAGAACCTTCTGGTACTAATTCTTACCAGTTTAGCCCAGAATGTTCTCGAACACAAGCCGAAAGCTATACAAACCCTACTGGTCCGCAGTTGAGTGTGTGCCTTGTCTAGCGAGCTGATAGTCAGTCATTGAGCGAGTGTCTCGAAGTCTAGCGCTGAGTTGGTCGTCCAGTGCATCGAAGAATCTCTTAGTGTATCGCAGTTAGTGCATCGTCGAAAGAGAGTGTGGAGCTCCGGGAAAGACTGAACCGAAGAGTCGGGAGCCGTGCTCTGTGTGTCGTCGAGTGCATCACGAGTTGTGGCGTGGAGAGTCTCGAGAGTATGTGAAGTTCCGAGAACGACCCAGCAGAGTCGGGAGCTGTACTCTGGTACTTTGCAGTGAAGCTGTCTTCACCATTATTGCTTGACAGTGTGAAAACTGTGTCGCTGATTGTTCCAGCGAATGTATAGTAGTTATTCGACGACTGTGTAAACGCGTTATTGGAGCTGTCCTGATTAATATTGGCTAAATAAAGTGTGTTTCGATACTTCATCAAGAAGTGCTGTTCTCGTTATTCACTCCAAATCCACAAGAACCCCGAACGTACGTAACGTCAAGAAGAAGAAAAAAATAACGTAACAATATATATAAACTCTGCATAGTTCTGTTAGTACTAGTGGTTATTAAGACTTAATGAAATTAGGCGGATGATGTAAAAATTAGAATCAGTTTTCAATTAAACCCATTTTTGTGGGTTTTAGCTTAAACATGTAGGAAAATTAGAAAGGTCTCATGAAAAAAAGTGCTTTTTAACATGTACCAGCATTAAATGTGCAGCAACGCTGAATTTTAATTCAAAAGTAAAGTGTCTCTCATGTTTATGTCTTATGAATCATTAAATTCTTTTCAGTTCTATGCAAAATGTTTTAATCAATGTTTTGTGATATCTTTCAAAGATTTATGTATTACTGCATTGTAATTATTCCTTTATCTGAAAAACTCTGAAGACTATGACTGCGATATAGCTTGTATTTTTAAAATCCGAATTCCCTTGGGATCAGCTAAAAAAACAGCTATGTGATATAAAAATTATTGCACCCAAAGCATGTAAAAATCGGTAACTGAGCAAAAAAAAATTTCAAAAACGAATTACTCTTTAATCTGTATATTTAATGTACACTGGTTATCATAAATTAAGGAAAAATCACAAAAATAGCGATAACTCCCTCAAAAATAAGCCAAACCGTACAGAAGCAGAATGTAGCAAAATTAGACTTGAACATTACAATTCAGTTTTTCAAGCCTAAATAACTAGCAGCTATCGTATTTGCTCTTAAATGGATTGATAAAAACCTGACTTATAAAAAAATATATATATATATATATATATATATATAATATATATATATATATATGTTACCGTGAAAGACCGAAATTGGAGAATGTCGACTTTCACCGGAGAATGTCAACATTCACCAAATACGTCGGTGAAAGATCGAACATTTCTTTACATTCTTGTACATTCGGACCCTCACCGCAGTATGTTGACAATCACAGATGTGCTCTGGTGTAGGTCGAAAAGAGAGAAGTATATGTACACGCTGCCATTCCAAAAGGAAGTGTTCCACAAATAAATGCAGTTGTAAAAGCAAGAGCCTCTTGTGCAATTCAAAGTGTCATAATAGTTTAAGTTGTTGCAATGAATAAGATTTGAATCACATAATTTGGTAAGTTTATAACTTCTATTATTTTCCTTTCTCATTTTGAATGTACTGTGTATTTTAAGTTCTTATATTCTTAAGTTCTTATTCTGAGTCTCAAGTGGGTTTTTTCGCGAATGAATTACGGAGAAGAAATATAATATTCTTATTGTTCAACATTCACATTAGTAATGGTGAATGTCGACATTACCGGTGTAAGTCAGAGAGTATTTGGAATTTTGACACACCAAGCGACTATGTGAATGTTGAAATTCCCCTGAATCGACATTCTCCAATTCGGTGTTTCGTACATATATATAAAGGGTGATTATAATTAAAGTTTAAGTTTCAAAACGCTATAAAAAAAGAACCACTGATGAAAAATGATGTGAAATTTGAAAGGAATGTTATTGAAGAAGGCGGAAAGCGTATGGCAGAAGAAAAAATTTAGTTTCAAAAGTTAGCAACAGATGGCGCTGTAAGCGGCAGAATCACGACGAGAGAACGAGAAATGATTCGTAAAACAACGGCTAAGGTGGAAGTTACACATTAAAACGCATTGACAAATTAGAATTGTTGAATAATTTTATTTGCATGACTGTACATATCACATCGAAAGGGACAAATCGGTTTCAAGAGTTTTGCGGCGACATACCGCATAAGAACCATTCATCAAAGAAGTTCGGAACTGTCGCAAAACATGTTCAATATGGTGTCCACCGTTGTGTGTGCAACAAGTTGAAAGCGACAAACAGCATGTTCCACAACGGATCGCAGTGTCTCCGGGGTGATGTTCAGAATGTGTTGCGAAATGCGTGCCTTTAATTCCGCTAAATTTGCAATTGGAGCACGGAACACAACATCCTTCAGATATCCCCACAGCCAGAAATCACACGGAGTAGTAAGATCAGGCGATCGGGACGGCCAGGCTGTAGGGAAATGACGGCTGATAATTCGAGCATTTCCGAAATGGCGCCTCAGCAGCTGCTTCACGGGATGTGCAATGTGCGGAGGAGCGCCATCTTGCATAAAAATGATTTCATCCACACATCCACGCTGTTGCAGAGCTGGAATCACGTGGTTGCGCAAAAGAGACGCATACCTCTGACCAGTGACGGTTGCGGTAACAGGACCGGAAGCACCCGTCTGCTCGAAAAAATATGGTTGTAGGATGAATGATGCCGTAAAGCCACACCATACCGTGACCTTTTCAGGATGAAGTGGTACGGGGTGCGTTGCCAGTGGATTTTCTGTTGCCCATATTCGACAATTCTGGGTATTCACGTATCCTGTCAGATGGAAATGGGCTTCATCTGTCCACAAAATTTTCCACGGCCATTCATTATCCACTTCCATGCGAGCCAGGAATTCTAACGCAAACGTCTCCCTAGCTGTCAGGTCAGACGGAAGCAACTCCTGCACATGGCCAATTTTGTACGGATAGCATTGCAGGATGTTTCGTACAATTTTCAGCACCGTGCTCGTAGGCCTGTCCAATGTTCGGGCAATTCCTCGTGCACTGCACGGTTGCACACCACCGGCCGACCCCTCCTGTAATGCTGTGGCCACTTCTTCAACTACCGTCGAATGCACTCGTTTTCTCCCTCTACCAGATTGCACATCAAACGAACCTGTCGTTTCGAATTTTTGCATCATTTTCTTTAGACCTACGACACTCATTGGACCAACGCCTTCTTTTATACCCTTCAGTGTCCTGAATTTTTGCAGAGCTACTCTTGCACAATCATCATTCTTGTAATACAGCTTTACCAGCAGAGCGCGGTCCTGCAGTGAAACACCCATGGCGAACGTCTGAGACGCGAAATGAGGAACAGCCTGGTACCTGGCGGCTTTATAACACTGAAATTTAACTAACATTTTAATTTACGTCTCTTCTTCGCTTGCAGCGCCATCTGTTGCTAACTTTTGAAACTAAATTTTTTCTTCTGCCATACGCTTTCCGCCTTCTTCAATAACATTCCTTTCAAATTTGACGTCATTTTCATGAGTGGTTCTTTTTTTATAGCGTTTTGAAACTTAAACTTTAATTATAATCACCCTGTATATATATAGAGAGAGAGACTCAATATCTGGTTTGGAAGCACCAGCAGATATGTATTTTGGTCTCATATGTAAAAGATCTCCTTGTAAAAGTTGAGAAAAATACACGAAGGGAAAATGAACTGGGTGAATCCATATCGGTGTTATAAGCAGTGCGGGAGATGCGTTAAATAATGCGGGAGATGCGTTCGATATTCAGGCATCAAAAAGAATTGTTATTGATAAATTGAAGGAGTTCTATTATGGTTGCTGGAAACTGAAATGAAACATTTCGGGAACAAGGAAAGATTACTTGTTGAACTTTGAAGTTTTCTAAAAATATGAGAATGGATACGTCATTTTGATCATAGTCAAATAATTATTGGATACGGGCGCTTCCCGCCGCACCTGAAAAGATTTAATTTGCAAAATAACAGTCTTTGTAGTTTTTGTAGCGCTGAGTGAAAAATCACAAAAATAGCGATAACTCCCTGAAAAATAAGCCAAACCGTGTAAAATTTGAATATGTTGCCAAGTAAGAATAGCTGAATAAAACTGCGATATACAAATTAGTGGCGCTGCTTTCGGAATACGTCATCTGCGAGGAGCATAAAAGTCCATGTTTGAGAGCAAGCCCACATATTTCACTGTGACAGTGACATCAGAAATCTGAGATAGCCAATTCGTAACAATGACCTCCAGGCATCATTTGCCAACAGAACTGCGATGGAGAGCCATTGGGAGACTAGAGGCAGGACAAAATCAAACAGAAGTGGCCAGATGACTAAATGTGAGTCCTTCTGTGGTTCATAGACTTTAGGGGCAATTTCAAACCACAGATTCGGCATCTAGGAGGTTCAGCCAAGGACAGCCAACTGCTACGACGAGCGCCGATGACCGATATTTGACATTGTGTTTATACAGGAATAGAACCGCTACTCCGACTCACTCTTCTTAGACCCTCCGTTGCTGCAGCCACCGGAAGGTTCGTGTCAACGTCAACTGTGCGTAGAAGGCTTCACGAAGGTGGTCTGTACGCGAGGCGACCAGCCATTTGTGTGCCGCTCACGTCACGCCATAAGAGGGACCGTTTTCAGTGGGCACGACAACATGTCCACTGAACGCTTGATCAAAGAAGGGCGGTTCTCTTTACGGATGAGTCCAGGTTTAGTCTAGAAAACCATTGTAAGCATTATTTGATATGGAGAGAATCTAGAACCCGTTATCATCCGTCAAACATCTGCGAAAATGATGCATACGGAAGGGGCAGTGTCTGTGTTTGGGGTGGCATCTCTTTGGGTGGACGCACAGACCTCCATGTCGTTCCAAGAGGAACTGTAAATGCTCAGTCATATAGATGACAACCTCGATCTTAATGTGCGCCCATATGCCGGGGCAATAGGTGATGCTTTCCTGTTACAGAACGATAACGCAAGACCGCACAGGGCTCGTATCGTAGATGATTGTCTTCAACAGGAAGCAGCGCATGGAGTGGCCAGCTCGATCCACGTACTTGAATCCTATCGAGCACGTTTGAGATGCTTTAGGGAGACACCTAGCTGCTCTCAATCTGACCCCTCAGACCCTGTCGCCCTTGAAACTGCTTTGCAAGAGCAATGGCTCTCGCTCCCTATGAAACTGATAGACCGCATAATTGAAAACATCACACATCGCTGTATGTGATGTATTACTTCTAGAGGCGATCATATTCCATATTGAATGTACTTTTCCTATAGCAAACTGACACCTTCGATTTTTCATTTTATACGTGTGCTAATTTCTATGCTACCATATTTGTCTGGTAATTTCTTTTTATGTTATTTGATACCTTACTATGTATTGTATATTGTGGGTAAGTTTCATTAAATTCTACATGTAACTTTTTCAGTAATCGTGATTTTTGTGATTTTTCTTTAATTTATGATGACTAGTGTATATGGATGTGTAGGAGTGAGTTCGATTAGCAGGTGTGTATTGAATTTAGTTAACTGCATATTATAAACCAAATGTTGCAGTGCAACTGGAAAAGAAAAATAATTTTTTACGCTAAACGAAATAGCGAAGTAAAAATATAATCCTTCATTATATGTAAAAATTTCATGCGAACACCACATGGCTTCCTTGTATGGTCTAATAAATCATACATATTTTTTGCTGCACTTTAACTGGGTTTCTCAACTTATTCTACCTTAAAAAAATTATCCCTCAAAGCAAGTTGAAAATGAGATAAAATACTGCAAAGTTTGAATTAATTAAACAGGTGAATTTTTGTCTTATGGAAGTCAAACTTCCTGTATTTAATTTTTTCAAAATTAATTCTTTTTCTAATTTGACATTTCCAAAACATGAATATTTTCGTCATTTAAAAACACTTTTGGGATTGGAGGTATATGACTACGACTAACGACTGCGAAAGTTAAGCCTTTTTAAGTGGGTAAAGGGGTGGGTACATATTATGTGTACGTGTGACGCTTTTGTTGCAATAAAAAAGGGAGGTGCACAACTGAATGTTATAGCAGTAGCATATACAAAATATGAATGTTCTAGTCATTTCTTGAGTTATGTGAGATACATACATATGTACGTACAGACGTCAAGAAAAACATCCCTTTAGAATCCATTTTAAAATCCGTTTCGGAAAAAAAAAGAATCCTTTTTTTACTTCCTTGTACGAAGTAAAAAGGAAATATTGTAATAGCGAAAAGTTTCAAGCAGCATATTTCAACGAAAATATCCATTTTGACCGCTATCGAATGCAATTTAACGATGTTTTTGCGTGATATCTGTACGTAAGGACAGAATAAAATACTCTTATACAAAAAATTATAAAACTGCTTTAAAATGAATTCTGAAGAGAATTTTTCATGGCGTCTGTACGAACGTATGTACGTACGTATGTATCTCATATAACTCAAAAACGAGTAGCCTCAGAACGTTGCAATTTTGTATACAGGACTGCTATAACATGTAGATGTGCACCTCGCATTTCGGTTGCAATCGGCCGCACCAAACATATATAAATATATTTATATATATATCCACTCTGTTACCCGGCTCAGTGATCTCAGTTTACTCTTATATGTTTGTAAATTGTCCCTTTTTTGCTTTAAAAGTGATTGAATTATGCTGTTCTCATCTTCCGGTTAAGGTTTTTATGCCTTTAGTAAATATGTATGCAATAGTTTTAGAATTATCAACAATTTAAGAATTATCAACAAAAGTTGTTTAAAGCCTCTAAGCCTAATAATTCTTTTGATGACGGCCATTGCTTATTTACATTTGAAACAGCAGGATAGTGGATTTGTTGCCAATCCAGAGAAACTTAATTTAACAACAACAAAGATAACTCCTTCATTTATTATTGCCAATTAAATCATGCTTAATCCTTTTTGGAATTTTTCGAGGAAATAAGTGTTTAAGATTTACTTCATAATTTTTAATACAATATTTTGAGTTTTTATGTATTTTTTACCTTGTCACGAAGTGAGGACTGAATTAATTGAATGAGAAATACTCAATTGTCTGTGAAAAACTGTTTCTTTTTTGTTTTGTTTGCTTAATTTCTTTTATACATCGTTCTAGCTTTATTATAGTATTTGAATAGAACATGTGGCAACGATTAGATAATTCTATTCTTTAAATGATACAATTTTTGTGCATTATGAGTTATAATATGAACAAAATATAATACTGTTAAGTGAACCTAGCGCCAGAGTGTCGCTATGGTAAACAAATAGAGTGAATTTTAAAGAATACATTTATTCTATTGTGGTTTATGCGCTGACGGCGAAGTAGATTTAATTCAATCCAATAAGTTTAAACGAAACGCAAGAAAAAATGCGTATAATTTAATATTCCGTACAAGGAAGTCATGTGGTGTACACATCAGATTTTTTTAAACTGTACAAAGTGTACCATTCCTCCATCAGCTTGCCCAACTATAAAACTTAGCAGTTCAAGTATGGCTAAAAATCTCAAGACACAGTTACCAGTTTAGAATTAAATTTTGTGGCAATTTTTTTTTCATCAATTAATTATAGGACAGTAATTTCCGAATAGTCTTCAACTGTTATCCGTAGAGCTCCAGTGGATTAAAGGAAATTCTTAGCTCATGTCTTCATTAAATAGTGGTACAGAATAATCTCAATACTCTATAACAAAACAATATATTTCTTTCTAAGCTTTGTGATTAAATTTTGTTCACGTGCCATCATATTGTAGAGTGTTTTCTACGGTCAACTAGAAACACCTGTACCACTGTTCTGTGCGAGGTATTTCAATGGTTATCAAGTTTCAATCTTTTTGGTTTTTTCTTTTTTTGCAGATGCTCATAACACATGACATTTAAACTAGTTCAGTAAATAAATTGCATTCTTTGCGTAACTTTCATAAAATGTACTGTAAATCACAGAACTTATTTTTGTGAGAGAATCTTCAGTGACATCTCAGAGTTGTGTATATAGGCAAATTTGGTGCTTCCGATGTAGATTCATGCATATTAAAAAGGAGACGACTAGATTATTTATAAATGATGTTGAGAATGTTTATGCCAACTTTATAATAACGTATGAGTCAAATTACACAATTAATATTACTATTTCTCTCAGGTTTCTACGCTTTTTCGGATTGAAAATACATCTATAGAAACAGCAAATTTATCAATCTAAGTTTTCTTACCATTGTGTATAATGACATCGACCGTTTCATTAGCGACCTCTTCCTTTAGCAATTTCGCTGAAATCCCATCTCTGTAACCTAGATCTCCATATATCACTACTCGTGGGTTCCAATCAGTTCCCTTCTGTAAAGTTCTGAAGTCGAAAACTCGGCTGAAAATTTTTCCATCACCTACTCTGTAATCTATAACAGACAAACAAACAAATATTTTAGGAAGAAGAAGAAGATAATAACAAAATAATCGCAAAAAATAGAATATTTTTATTTTTATTTTCGGCATAAAAGAACTTGATATTCTTTGATTCTCTGATATGGTAAAAGTAGCAATTGTATCTGGTATGCTTGGCTAAAACCTTGTACGAGAATGAATAATAAAAATCTTGTGCATAGCTCATATGTAATGTTTTCTAATGATTCATTATTTGCCCGCGTTTGCAAATTCTGATTTCTAAACCACAACAATTCGTCAGAATGGATATCTGTTGCCAAAATATTTATAAAAACTGACATGGAAAATGCTGGATATCTTTCGATAGATAAATCATTCCTTGAAGCAAGCAAATAAATGTTAAAGAACAAAGGATTTTATTTTATGTTATCATTTTGTAGATTTTTCTGTCGTGAGTTTATTTTATTTTATTTTTGTAGCTTTTTATTTCCTTCTACGAAGTAAAAAGGAAGTATTGTAATCGCGAAAAGCTTCAGGCAGCATATTTCAACGAACATATCCACTTTGACCACTTTCGAATTCAATTTAACGATGTTTTTGCGTGATATCTATACTTAAGGAAAAAGAAATAAAAGACTATTTTCCTCCAAAAAAACTAAAAAACTGCTTTAAAATGAATTCTGAAGAGAATTTTTCGTGACGTCTGTACGAACGTATGTACGTACGTGCGTGCGTACGTACGTATCTCGCATAACTCAAAAACGAGTACCCTCAGAACGTTGAAATTTTGTATATAAGACTACTATAACATGTAGATCTGCACCTCGTATTTTGGTTTCAATCGGCCGCGCCAAACGTATATAAATATATTTATAAATATATCCACTCTGTTACCGCGGCTCAGTGATTTTGCATCTCAGTTTTTTACTCTTATATGCTTGTAAATTGTACATTTTTGCTTTAAAAATGATTGATTGAATTATGTTTGTTTTTATCTTCCGGTTAAAGTTTTTATGCCTTTCGTAATTCTGGAAGCATATTTGTACAATTATCAACAATTTAAAAGCTGTTTAAATGCGGTTAAGTTTTAAATAACATGGCGGACATATTTGTTTACATTTGAAACAGCAGAGTTGTAGATTTGTTGCCAATCTAGAGAGACTAAGCTTCGCAACACAAAAATAACGCCTTCATTTATTATTGCCAATTAAATCATGCTTAATCCTTTCTGGAATTTTTCGAGGAAATAAGTATTTAAGATTTACTTCGTAGTTTTTAATAGATATTTTGAGTTTTTATATATTTTGCCTTGTCGCAAAGAGAAAAATGAATTAATTGAATGAGAAATCTCAATCGTCTGTGAAAAACTGTTTCTTTTTCGTTTTGTTGCTTAATTTCTTTTATACAGCGTTCTAGCTTTGTTATAGTATTTGAATAAAAACTTGTGGCAACGATTAGATAATTCTTTAAATGATATAAATTTTGTGCATTCTGAGTTATAATATGAACGAAATATAATGCTGTTAAGTAAACCTAGCGCCAGAGTGTCGCTATGGTAAACAAATAGAGTGAATTTTAAAGAATGGCAATTATTCTAGTTGTGGTTTATGCGCTGTCGGCGAAGTAGGTTTAATTCAGGCCAATATAAGTTTAATGAAATGCAAGAAAAAATGCGTATAATTTAATATTCCGTACAAGGAAGTCATGTGGTGTACACATCAGATTTTTTTTTTCTAAAGTAAGTATTCAGCAGTTCTTCATATTTGATAAACTTTGTTTTATTCCTATCATTTTCCCCATTTATTACTGCATTTGGCATGCTTTTCGAAGTCCTTAGAACATCATTGGCAGTTATAGCAGTAAAGAATACTAAAATATTTAAACTATTAATTAAATGAACAAATTAAAATATCTTTAAATTATTATTATTATTATTATTTATCTTTAAATGAGCAAATTAAAATTAAAATAAGTAGAGGTATTAAGAAAAATTATTAAATTAATAAAATTTCAGTTGCATACCAAAACAAGAACATAACTAATCTAAATAATGTTTTCGGAATGTTATTGAAACTATTTTCCAAACTCTTTTAATAAAGCGTCTTCAAATGTATCTAAACTAAACGCTTAAAGTATGTGCAAGAGATAAAATTCACTAAAAAGATTTTCCCACATGAATTCGAAGAAAAATTCGGAAAAAAAAATTGTGTTCATTTTAAATGATTATCTAACGTAATATACTGGGAGTTTCTAGAACCCTTGTATCCGATTTTACTCTTCGCGTATTTATACCATCTGTCTGTAATCAAAATATTCTATTCCTAATAGAATGAAGTTTAAAAAAAAAAAAAAAAACATTTTCGTGAAATCAAAAATGTTACAAGTAACATCACTTTTTTCCTTTCTTTATTTATGTATGACAGATATAGTATTCTGTGACTTCATCCGCTTTTATATGAGATGCAGATGTTAACATACGCTTATGTAGCCTGTCGCGATCAAGACTGGCATGTCTAAGTTGCAAAGCTGCACAGCTGTTGCAGTTGAATACCGGCCTACGTACATTTTGTCTTACATAAGGTACTTAAGCTAAAATCACAGCCGCACAGGTACAGCTGCTAGACATACACTCGTTTGGAAAATTAAGAGAATTTGTTCATTATGTCAAATTCTTGAAAACCTAATGGACAGATTTAAATGAAATTTAACATGAATATACATTTATAATAGCGAAAGAGATGTACCATCCAAAAGTCATTTTGTGTACGCATGATTATCAGTGAAGCTCATAGTGCAGGGATGTCCAAAATCCACGCTATGATACAGAACTGTGGTCACGTGGTCCCGTGGTCACACCCTAACACATCGCGTAGCTTGATGGAATACTGGACGGAAGGCAGCTGAGGAGTCTCTGGGGCAGTCGATCACATTCCTTCAGCAATGCAGTTTTCTGATCCACGCTATGATACAGAGCTGTGGTCACGTGGTCACACCCAAACAGATCGCGCAGCATGATGGACTACTGGACGGAAGGCAGCTGAGGAGTCTCTGGGGCAGTCGATGACATTCCTTCAGCAATGCAGTTTTCTGATCCACGCTATGATACAGAACTGTGATCACGTGGTCCCGTGGTCACACCTAAACAGATCGCGCAGCTTGATGGAATACTGGACGGAAGGCAGCTGAGGAGTCTCTGGGACAGTCGATAACATTCCTTCAGCAATGCAGTTTTCTGATCCACGCTATGATACAGAACTGTGATCACGTGGTCCCGTGGTCACACCCAAACAGATCGCGCAGCTTGATGGAATACTGGACGGAAGGCAGCTGAGGAGTCTCTGGGGCAGTCGATCACATTCCTTCAGCAATGCAGTTTTCTGATCCACGCTATGATACAGAACTGTGGTCACGTGGTCCCGTGGTCACACCCAAACAGATCGCGCAGCTTGATGGAATAGTGGACGGAAGGCAGCTGAGGAGTCTCTGGGTCAGTCGATAACATTCCTTCAGCGATGCAGTTTTCTGATCCACGCTATGATACAGAACTGTGATCACGTGGTCCCGTGGTCACACCTAAACAGATCGCGCAGCTTGATGGAATACTGGACGGAAGACAGCTGAGGTGTCTCTGGGGCAGTCGATCACATTCCTTGCAGCAATGCAGTTTTCTGCTTCGAGGTGGTTCTTGGAGGTGGATGGCAAGATGAAATTGTCCTTCCAAGAGCGACTCAGACACGCTGTAATAGGGTTAAGGTAATGATGCCTTACCTGGCCTATCCAAGCAGCGAATAACCCCACTTGCCAGATAATCATCGACCAGCTGAGCCCCATGTGGACGATCGTTGTCGTGAGAGCTGTGAAGCTGTAGCAGTCCTGTGCACGTTCTCCATTCGTCGCTGTGGTTCTTAGTCGACCTTGTCCAGTTCTTCTGAATATGGATTCAGTGTCTTGAAAGTGTTTCCACAAATTGCAGACGGCACTGCGTGTTACAGGCTCTAGGTCCCGCTGTTTTTAACAGTTCTAGAAACATGCATACGTTCATGCAGACTCTTCATTATTTAATTTTTAAAAAATAATGTTGGGCAATATATTTGGCAGCAACAGTTTTAAAAGTGATACGCCATTTGTAGTGATTCAACGCAAATTCTCATTTCGAAACTAATAACCCATTTGGGCTAAAGCCTCTTTGGGGCTAATAAAAATTATAATTTGCGTTTTTACAGGACAAATTACGGAATAATTTTTGAAATTAATTTATTAGAATGGAAATCTTCCTTTCATCAGTTATTTCATAATTTTATTCTTTCAATTTGTAAATAATATTTTACTTTTAAAATAAATCCTTATTTTTTGTTTAATAGAATCTTGAAAAAAGGCTTCATAATTCTTGTAAAACGTATGACACTTAAACGCAGTTTTCTGGTACGAGAAAATATACAGGCCAGCCCATGAATGTTACTCATGAGGACATCCTCTTGAACATGAGATGAACAGCAAAACAGCAGACTAATTAGACCCCCAAAAAAATGCTATTCTTCTCAGCCAGAAAACTAACTCAATATTTAATTAGAAGAATGTTCTCAATCTGTTATGAGGGATGCTTTAATTATGAAAAGGAAACAAAGAGAAAACTATCGTAACTATTGAAATACCTGCAACAGCTATCGTTATTAACAAACTATTTTCATTCGCTTGTAATGAAATTTTCACAGAAGGTACAGACACAAAATTTATTTATAATAATCATTATAACTAGAAAATTAAAAATTCTAACAACTAAAATAAATGATAAATTTAAGTCAAACATATTCTGTAATTTTTACACTACTCAGTTCATGAAAATTTCGAATAATATCATAAGCTTTCGCACACTTTACACTAGCGTATCTTTCGGAAAACAATTCCAAAATCTGTAACCATCATATCTTAAATATTATTAAATGAGCTTATTAAATGCGAAAAATGTACTTTTACCTCACCGAATGTGAATTCGAATTGCAAATTTTCTAGTTTT